GTGGGGTGGGTGCACGCCATTGCGCATGGGTAGGAGGTTGGGGGTATGTCTGGGCATGGTGGACAGAGAAATGGGGAGCGGGAGGTGGGTAATAATGCTGCGGTGGGCCATATGGGGTATGTGGGTAGGTTTGGGGTGAGGGCGACGTTGGTGATAATATGGCGATGGACCTCTGGACCAAGCTCTCGATTCCACTACCGCAACCTCTTCTTTCTTCTTCTTTCCCAATACGCCTCCAGTGCCGCTCTGAATAGCCTGAGTAGTTGCTTTGATTGCTGAATAACTCATAATCTTGTTAGACTTGAGACCCTCTTCCACCATACTTCCCATTTTCACGACCTCGTTGAAAGTTTTTCCCACTGCTGACACCAGATGACCATAATAGGTTGGCTCCAAAGCCTGAAGGAAATAATCAACCATCTCATTCTCTTTCATTGGAGGATCGACTCTTGCTGCCTGCTCTCTCCACCGAAAACCATATTCTCTAAAGCTTTCTCCGGGCTTCTTCTCAATTTTAGTCAGTGACAGACGTCCGGGACAATTTCGAGATNTTGGCATAAATAAAGAATTTAGATGACTAAATCATCACAAAAGCAATTTGAAGAATAATTATTGGATATTTTATAAATAAAGAGAGAAAATAAATTGATTTGGGGCTTTTAAAAATTATAGAAAGAAAAATTATAAAAAATTTTATGTATGCTTATACTATTTTGAAAGCATATATATGTGTTAAAAATATATGAGAAAAAATTGGGTATCAACATTTGGAAAGTTTCGCATAGAGCTTTTTCTCCTCCAAAATTTTCAAGACAATTCAGAGATGTTTATCATGATCTTCACTATTCGTGGAATATATTAAAATATCACCAATAAATACACCACAAATTGATCAAGATAAGGTTTGAATACACGATTCAGTAGATCCATGAACACTGCAGGAGCATTTTTAAACCCAAACGACATTACCAAAATTTTATAATGACCATAACGAGTCCTAAAAGCAGTTTTAGGAACAACTTGCTCACTTACTCACACTTGGTAATACCCGGACCTCAAGTCAATTTTGAGAACAACCTACTACCCTTTAACCGGTCAAATCAATCATCAATTCCTAGGCAATGGCTATCTATTTTTAATTGTTTCCTTATTCAATTGCCGGTAATCAATACAAAGACGAAGAGTGATCTTTCTTTTCACAAATAAAATAGGAGCTCCCCAAGGAGAAACACTTGGGCGAATAAAACCCTTCTCAAGAAGTTCTTGCAATTGAATTATTAACTCCTTCAATTCTGCTGAAGTCATTCGGTAAGGAGTTATAGAAATAGGAGTAGTTCCAGGAATAAACTCTATAGGAAATTCAACCCAGGAAGCTTTTAAGGGAAAACATCATAAAATTCACATACAACTGGTATATCTTTAAGGGTTGGACTTTTTAGGTGTGTATCATCTATATGAGCAAGATAAATTTCACAACCCTGACTAATCATCTTTCTTGCCACAACCGCAGAGATTATATTAGATGTTAATGATCTTTCACCTTAAATAACAATGTGTGAAAATGTAGGAGCTTTAAAGGTCACAAGTTTTGGCCTACACTCAACTATTGCATGATATCTATGAAGCCAATCCATACCGATGATGATATCACAGTCTTGGAAAGGCATTTCAATCAAATCAGGAGGGAAGACTAGATTTTGAATCACGGAGGGACATCCTCGATTGATCAGATTACAAACAACATGATGACCCAAAAGACTTTTGACAAGCACTCTACAATCAAGTCTCGCACATTTCACATTTTCAGGAAAAATAAATGATGAGAAAACATAGAAATGTGTAGAACCAGGATCAAATACTGTAACAACACATAATCCAAATAAGTAAAATTTACCAACGACCACGTCTGCCCCATCTTTGTCATCCCTCTATCTCATAGCATAAGCTTGTGTTGTAGCTCTTGACCTGCACCTGCTGTTTGGGTGTTTATAGATCTTTCACCTCTATTTCCTTAAGAAGGAATGGTAGTAGGTTTCCGAACTGAACCTTTAGTTCCCAGAGAAGAAATATGGTTAGGATTAGGATAGTCCTTCACTTTGTGATCGAAGCTCTCATAATTAAAACAAGCACCAGAAGCTTTTCTGCAAGTACCATAGTGATTCTTTCCATATTGTACACAAGTGGGTATATGAGTCTTACCTTGTCCATAGCTTGGAGTGCTGGTAGTAAAAAATTTGATCTATTTTGCTTATGCTGAACTGACCTGTGAACACCTCAGCTTTGGAATTGTCAAACTTCCTCCTTTTGGAGGGACCGCCATAATCTGAATTAGCTTTTCTGAACATGTTTTCATTTCTACTAGCTCTTTCCTTGTCAATTCTTTCCCAAGTAAGAGCAGTTGTAACTAGTTTGGAAATATTTTCTTGATGGAGGACCGCCATAGACTTTCGGATAGAATCATCCTAACCATCTTCGAATCGCCAGCATTTATTTTTTTATCATCAATAATACCACCAGCATAACAAGAAAGCCTGAGAAACTTTTTTTGATATTCACCAATAGACATACCCCTTTGCTTTAAATCCAAAAACTCCTTTTTCTTCACATCACGATAAGCAGGTGGGACATACTTCATGCGGAATTCTTTGACAAAATCATCCCAAGTAAGCATCGAAGATTTTGCTTTGACATTTGGTACATTTACCCACCAGTCATAAGCATCCCTTTGTAGCAATGAGATGACATACTTAAATTTTGCATCTTTCGAACACTATAATTGCTCAAATACTCTCTCTATGCACTCAAGCCATTGTTCAGCATCAGCAGAATCAATAGTGTCTTCAAACTCAACTCCACCCATTTTTCTCATTTTCTCTAGTTCATTTCATTAGGGTCGGACATTGTTCTAGCCAAGTGACGAATGAAATCGGCCATTTGCTGAAAAGGAGAATCAACAACAGGAGTACTATGACTCATATGAGGATGTGGCGCAACTCTTGCACCCTAATTATTTTCCACTTCAGATCCACCAGTACGAGAAAAATTAAGATAAAAATGTTCTCCAACCCCTTCCTGTAAGTGAGGTTGGGCATAAGAGTTATCTAAACCCTCACGAGTTGCTTCCATAGGTCTATTAGAAGAAGAGGTTATAACTTAATTCCTACATAGCACGTTTGATGAAGCGGTATCACGCAACACCGCTTCGTCCGAAAATTTTACTAAATATATGTATTAGTACTGTCAGGAAACAGACAACGAGAGAAAAATGATACCGCTTGACATAAATTGCCGCTTGGTGTGTTAGTTATGTGCTTGATTTTGCTCTAGTAGGTCAAATGTTTGAACCTCATCTAGTACTTTTTTTTACGAATATTTGAGCGAGCCTCTATGGTTAAAAATTATGCTAAGTAGAATCTAACTTGGGACCTTTTCTAACTTAAGATTCAACAAAATCAATAGATTAAGACTATTTCTTGTCCAAAAGTATGATAATTAAAGTTATTATTCATGTTCTTTTATAAATTTTGATACCGCTTATAAAAATTGTGTATGCCCCTGCGCATAACACACGTAATAAGTACAAACTACTAGAAGTTAGGCTCAAATACAATTAAAGTATAGTAATTAAAGTACAAAGTATAACTAAAATACGGGTTCCTAGTGTACCATCACTTATTACTGATAAGAGTTTTCATGAAGAGGCTGCGAAAAACTTCAGAAGGCAAATCTGTCTTCCAACTATTCATATGCTTTGTCAAAAAAGGTTCTAATCATCACTTCCATTTAAGAAGGTTCGAATTTTCAAATCCCATGAAGTGTTGTTGGGATTTAAACTTATAAAGGTTTGGACATTAAAGAATCATTCCTGGGGTTTAAAACTCCAATAAATCTTCACATTCAGATCGTAAAGTTTGAATTTTTATTGGGGTTTGAGCTTATAAAGGTTTGAATCCCATGAGTTGTTACCATATTTTGAAATTAAGCATATTATATTAGTGTTTCACTTGTAAAATTATGAATGCCAGCAACAATTGCTGGTGTTGTTCCATGTCTTAATTGGGAGTATTTTTCTCCACAAAAACAATTGTGTAAAAGGAGTGACTAAATACTAATTGGCTTTTAAATACTCACTAAACTCTAATAGCAAGGATTAAAGTGACTATTTGCTCATTTCATTTATTTATTGAACAATTGTTTATTGTTCATTAATTTTAATAAATGCAAATAAATTTTCTGTTTTAACAAAACCAAAATAAAAAAACAACTGTCTTGCAACAATAGCTATTCCATTTTAAGTAAAATAAATAAGCCAAAAGGTTATTTTCTTGAAAAAACATTATGCAAAATTATTTCTTCTGGAAACAAATCCAAACACAAATAGTTTCCCAAAGAAAAAAATAAAGCAAACCCAAAAAAATAACTTAAACTAATTGATATTTTAAAGTATAATACATTTAAACCAGTTACCATAACATTTTACTTACCATCTTACCTATCATATGTTGTAAGTTACCAATCTTATAGCCCGTTTGGCCAAGCTGCAAAAATCAGCTCATTTCGAGAAGTACTTTTTTTCAAAAATGCTTTTCTCAAAAATACTTTTGGTGAGAAGAAGTTTGTGTTTGGCTAATTAGTTTGAAAAGCACTTTTGAGAAGCAATTAGTGTTTGGCCAAGCTTTAAAAAACTGCTTCTAAGTGTATTTTTCTCAAAGGTGCTTCTAAAAANTACTTTTTCTGCTTCTCCAAAACTGCTTATGCTTCTCCTACAAAACTACGTTTTTTACTTCCAGAAGCTTGGCCAAACACCTCAAGTTTTTGGACCTAAAAGTGACTTTTAGGAAAAAAAAAAAAAAAAAAAAACTCTTGGCCAAATATAAGCTTGGCCGAACAAGCTATTAACTTACTAGAAATTGATTCTTAAGCCACCTGAGTGTAAAACTTCTAAGCGAACGGCGTGTAAGAACTAAACATTTGTTAACCAAAATTCAAATAGTATACGATTGAGCTCAACAAATAATTTGACACGCAACAACATTTTCAGAGAGTCCGACACACTTTTTGACGAACCCGAGCAACATAGCTCACATATGGCAGTGATTCAACAATATAGAGCATAATTTGTGCTATGACCCTAAACTGATAATTCCTTTGACATCTAACTACAGTGGTTGTATATCTAATCAGAATCACATACAGTAATATATATATTAAGCATAAAAGGAAACTAGTGGGAGAAATGGAAATATAGAAAGAAAATTTGGTGGACATTCAGAGACTTTGAAGTAGCTTCAATGTCTCATCAATATGCTTTTCAGGTTGGAACTGATTGTTATATACGAGTTGAACTACTCCATTCTTGTCAAGTACATAAGTTTGTCTTCCAGGCAATGTACCAAAAAGGTCTGCTGGGACTCCCCATTCTTTTCTAACCTTGTCGCCTTCATCACTCAGCAACGTATATGGAAGTCTGTATTTCTTTGCAAAAGCCTGTACCAACACAAAATACCTCGGTTATAACAGTTGGCGATATCGAACAGCAGAAATGTAAAGAACACAAATTTATGATAAGAAAAAATACAAGAAGTTTGAAACATGATGAGTTGGTGTACATCCTTGACATGAGAAGTAATGAACCGTAAATCATACTTGCAAAGGGAAGTATATTTTTGGCAGTATGCCAATGGAAATTCAAATCAATGCAGCCTAAGAAATTAACCGTAAATCAAGAACCTGATAGTTGTCTGTCTGTGAAATCAGACCATCAGGGAGTTGACCAGTTGTGTCTAAAACCATAGCTATTAATACCCAGTGCAAATTTTAGACGACAAGGCTAATAGGAAGACCAAGCTTAATGTAATTTGATTTGATTATAAGAATCAGAAATCCAGATTACTGACTAACTATCATAGAGGAACTCCAGCTAACTATTTTTAACCAACCAAGTAAATCTGTAATACCTTGTGGGATTCCGGATCATCACCACTAATCCCAACAACTTCCGCTCCTGCTTTCTTGAACTTTTCATACGAGTCCCTGAAGGAACAGGCCTGTATAAAATGTTCACACATTTGTGATCACCATGGTAACTTTTTATGCATACACTATTGAGGCATGAAGAGGATGGTTTTGCTTTTAGGAGTAAAGCAATTAACTTTCAGCTAAAAAAGAAATAAAATAAGAGGAATGAGACAATTCTAGTTATCTCTAGAATAGAATTCAAACAGTAGGTCTAATCTTGTATTTTTAACTTGCCTCAAGCCTATTTCAGATGAAATTAAGGTAAATAATAAATTTGTTCACATATTTGAGAAATTTCCTGGATTGGATTACACTTAATTTATGTCTAACGATAATATTTTTCACCAATTGCACTGTCTTTCTGAATTAGTAAACAGGAGATAACCATGGAAAATAGAGTAATCCGTCCAACATAGATACACTCAAGAAGTTCAAGGTGAAACAATGCAGCTACCCAAAAGTCTAATATATTAGACAAGCCACACATTGGTAAGACTTGAATTGAGCATTACTCGGAATAGGAGTTAAAGCATGTTGTAGTTTAATGGTAAGCTTCACTAATCATCACTTAGGTGCAGGGTTCCAATCTCACCAAAAGCTTTGCCCGGCCACTCTATTTAGGGGCCGACTGCTATTCCGTAAAATTGCTAAGAAAAAGGGCAGCCTGGTGCACTAAGCTCCCGCTATGTGCGGGGTCCGGGGAAGGGCCGGACCACAAGGGTCTCTTGTATGCAGCCTTACCCTTCATTTCTGCAAGGCACTGTTTCCACGTCTCAAACCCGTGACCTCCTGGTCACGTGGCAGCAACTTTACCAGTTACGCCAACGCTCCCCTTCATTTCATAAAAATTGCTAGTATATTAAAATTAGTCGTCCAACCTAGAACCTGGTTGTCAAATACTTAGCATCAAGTATGGAGGGACCTTTCAGGAGTGCCGCATTGCAGATATGTTTCATCATGTTCAGGACATGCCAAAGGAAGCTAGGGGGCCATTCAGAATGGCGAAAGGCAGGTCTACATGTTTTAGAATCAGACAAGTACGGATGTCCAATGATTATGGTTAATCTAATATTCATGTGTCTTGTCTATGTTTCTGTATATAATTTGTAAATGAGAGTAGTACTCTCATATGATCTAACTTCACAGAATAGGACTTCACTTGTAGAGATCTTTTGGTGACAAAATTTATCAGTCCAACTTCAATATGAATGGACAAGTCACACATTGGTCAGATTCGAAATCAAACTTTTCTCCGGATGGAGTTGTAGCCTCATATTCACCCACCCTATTCCAAGGTAAGTACTGTATAAAAGAAATTGTTCGTCCAACCTAATACTTAGCATTAAGAGGACGACTTCATTCACATCTATTCAGCTAATTGATTTTAATTCTCAACTTATGATACTAAGAAGGTCCTTCTTTGTGCAAATTTTTATGCATAAAATGCAGTTATTTTTGGATTGAACTTCAATAAGACCAACAAAATCATGTTTTCTCTATGATTATAAAGGTGCAAACCAATGTGAAATTAACTGAATTTAGACGAAAATTTAAGGTGTCTTTTTACTCTACCTGTTTTGTACAACCAGGAGATTCATCAGCAGGATAGAAATAAACCACCACGGGCTTGCCTTTAAACTTGGAGAGGCTCACATCTTTTCCATCTTGATCTTTTAATGTGAATGGTGGAGGCACTGAACCTTTTTCCACCTACCAAACAAGCCACAAATTCCAAATAGTGTTTAAAGAAATCAGAAAAAAAAAAAAAAAGCAATAAAATGGGAAAGCAATGTACGTACCTTAGCAAAAATAGAACTTTTAGTTGAAGAAAAAGAAGAAGGGGTTGTCAAAGAAGGTGAATGAAGAAGCTTGAGACCATAAAAATTGGATCTTGATGATCTTGAGACAATGCTTAGGTTGTGACAGAGGAGGTTTTTAGGGGTTTGAGAATAGAGCAGTGAATTTGGAAGAGCCAGCTTTACAGATGTGGACAAAGAAGCCATTTGTGGGGGTGGAGGGATTGAAAGAAGAGAGACAATATGAGTGACCTTAGTTGAAGAAAGAGAGTAACTTTTCTAAGATTTTTTTGGTAATGATTAATCAAGATCAAGATTGTTTTCTTTGTATATAGAAAAAGACCGACTATGGGAGTGGTACAGGCTAAAGTGTGTATGTGGCGAAAGTGGGAATTTGGTTTCTGCGCGGTGGAGCGTTGCTCACCCCAACCAAACTATGACAGTGCGGTCAACATCAGTTCCCTCTTTTCTTTTTCTCATTTTATTTTAAGCATATTCTTATTAGATAAATTTATCAACTTTTATTTCGATATTTTTCTAAAGTTAAAAGTTCATAAGATATCTTTTAAAAATTAAGACATTTCTTTGGATATCTATTCATCGAAGTTGTTCTCTCTAATAAGTCAAAGATAAGTCATTTCATTTCTGAATATTACTCATATTTTAGAGTTACAAATTTTTCTGCACGATTCGATTTTATAAAATAATTTGAATGGTATTAAAAAACAAATTTGAGTAAATAATGATAAATGAAAGAATAAAGTACAAGTTTCTATAACTGATCAATATCTAAAGTATTATTATTTACTCATTTCTGAGGTGGATGATTCTTTTTCTGACAATGATTTAAGACAAACAAACGTGGGAATATAGGGGGTTTTCTCGGATCTGACGCGATAAAATCTGAGATGAACAACAAATCGAATCTTTATGGAAAGGCAATGTTTGTAGTCTACTTGAAAGTCAACTTTTCATGAGAGAACTTCTCATATAGAATATTACACACACCCTTCTTCTCTCTCTATTCCACTTTATATGAGACATATCCCTTACCTAACTAAAAGTACAAGTGCAGAGAATATTCTGTGAAATATTCCCCTAAAATATCTTACTACTAAATTAGTTGTTAGGGCCGACCTGAGTATTCGACTCGACCCCGGCTACTCAGCTCACCAATAGGTTCATTCCATCTTGAGCACGACCTCGGCCTAATCGGCTCTTAGCAATCCTTTCTTGGGCAAGATTCCCTTGGTCAGATTTTTGACCCATACAGTTAGTCCCTCCGCTCGTCGGGGTTATTTTTTAGACGAGCTCGATGGGCGGACTTCGCCAGTCGCAACTTAAGAAATTTGGGCATGCTGGCCGAGGAGTAACCTTTTTATGGCGAGGTGACGACGTGGCGCTTTAAGAGCCACATCTGACCGTTACGTCAGTTTGAAATGACATCATTTCATCATGCGTCATTATGGCGCATGTTCCCGATACGTTATGTAGTTTCCCGCGCCTCTTCCGTTTTGAAATCAATGTGGCGGCATTTGGCTTTCTCGATTAGGGTGCCATTATTCTTATAAATAGGGATGGGATTTCCTCATTTGAGTTGCTGTATTTCTTAAGCATTTTAAACTTCAAGCTTCCCCTTTCTCTTTTCAGAATTCTTGCATCTTTGTCTCTCCCTTCTCTTAGCGTTTTCTGCTATTTTTACCCCTTTCGCGTTTGCATTTCCTCCCTATATACATGACAAAAAAATGACTAGTGCATCTCTTAACCTTGAGGGAGCTTCTGATCCTGTCCCATTGACTGTGGACATGCCTTCTCATGAAGAAGGAGTGGCCATTGTAGAAGATGAGAGTTTCCCCACTGTGGATGAGATAGTTCCACGTTCGGGGAGAACCAGGTCGGACTTCTCGAAGCTACCTGAAGATGATCCTGAGCCCGTCATTTCTGAGATGGATGCGGCAACACTTGTTGCATTTAGGGCTAAATGGCGAATTCCAGACCATGTCGAACTTATCCCAGCTGGTAACAACGTGGTGCAGATACATCGCCTAGGATACTGCGCATTCTACGCGTATCCATTTGTCGTCGGCTATACGCTTCCTCTTCCTTCCTTGGCGGAGGACTTCTATCGCTATTATGGTGTTTGTCCGGCTCAGCTCTCCCCGAACATATATAAGTTTTTTCTTATGCTTATCAAGTATGCGGAGCTAGCCAACCGTGGGATTTCTCTCCGTCATCTGCTTCACCTCTTCGCCCCAAGTTTTCACAGGGGTATGATGATACACCTTCGCCATCGTGGGACCAAGGGATTGGTGGTGAAGATGGATGATAAGACAAATCATCGTTTTTGGGTCAACTTCTTCTACGTGAGGATGGAGCACGTGGTGTCGAACCCCAATGGGTTCCCGAGGAGTGGAACTTTGCTCGTAAGTGTTTCTCCCAACTAGCTGTTTGTTGTGTCTCTTTGGTGACCTAATCGTTCTCCCCCTTCTCTTCTTTTTTATATAACCAAGAAGGATCCTCCTTCGCTAGTCACCGACATTCGTGACTAGGTGAGCCAAATTTTGCCTCACACGGTGGGGATCCGTGAGTGGTCGCAGTTCAATAAGAGGTTTGGGCGCAAACCTATGGCCGGTGAGTCATTTCATTTTGATCTTAGTTGTTTTAACCTTCGTACCGTCTTTTCTCTCCTTTTATTTTTTACTTGTCTTTCTTTGCTGGTAGGTCAGAGGGCTCCGAGGAGGACGAGGGCTCCTACACCCGCTTTTCGTCAGTCAGGTGCTTCCACTGAGCCTCTACTCGCCGCGGCTGCAGGTGAGTCCGTTCAGACTGTTGTTCCTTCTCGGACCCCGGCCTCACATAGACCTAGCCGTCAGGTTGCGGCCCTACTAGCGGAGATTTCGGCTACTTCAATATTTCATTTAGTGGATGAGTCATCGCAGGTGAGGAGGAAGAGGCTTCGCTGAAAAGACGGACACTAGAGGTTGGCGGCGAATAGACCGAGGATGAGGGGCCTGCGAGGGGTGATCCCGAGTTGACCACGGCCGAACCAGGAGGCAACATGGCTTTAGACACAGAGATTGTGCCCCCTTCAAATGTGGAGATTGCTTCCGTGGAAGGAGGGTAGCGACCAGAGGCAACTATGGTCACTCCGAGGGGTGATCTGTCAACGTCAGCGCGGGCTGACGTTCCCTCTTCATCCAAGAAGAGGGTGAAAGGAGTGATCGTAGATGATTACGAATCCGGCTCCGACGTCAACCTCGAGGAAGAGAGGATATTCGACGAAGGGTTTACCCAGGTTGAGGTGAGAACGGATTGATCTTCTCGTTTGATTGTCATCCCTTTGGACTACGACTTGTTGGCTGACACGGCGAGCGTGGTCCCTTCTTTGGTCCCTCTTTGCTCTGCCGCCAAGAACATGACTCTACAAGTGCATAAGGTTTCCGATTTGTCATTAGGCATTTCTGGGATGGCTCTGAGGGTGAGTTTCCTTCCTCGTTATTTTTGCACTTCGCGCCCTTCTCCCCTTTCTATTTTTACTAACTCTTTTCGGCTCTTCCTTTTTATTCTTTTTTCTTTTTTTAGACTCTCATTTTGAGATCGAGAGCGCCTGCCGAGAAGAGAAGCGGAAGATTGTTTTCCAGAAAATGGTTTTGAAGTACCGCCGATATCGTGACAAGTACCGTGAGATGCGTGCACGGTTCAGGGTAGGCGGTAACCTCCAGTCCCATAGAGATGAGTTGGACCAGAAGGACGAGGAGCTTGTGCGGACCATCAGAAGATGTAGTGAGCTCGAGGGGGCGCTTATAGCCAAGAAAGACGAACTCGAGGTAAGCAAGGGGGTCGTGGCCGAGTGTGTTGACCTTCAAGCGCAAGTGGCGTCCCTATGGGTCGAGCTTGAGCAAAGCTCGATCAGAGTTGCCGCCCTGAGTGGTGAGTTGATCGAGAAAGTGGCAGAGTTGGAGGGGACCGAGGAGGCCAGGGTAGTGGCTTTGGAAAAGGTGGCGACATTAGAGGACTCCATCCGCGTCCTCGGGTCTGAACGTGCAATTGATGCGACGGCTGCGCTAAGGGAGGCACGGGTTGACGAGCGAATTGGTGGCTCAAGAGAGATGTTTCGAGCCATAGTGATCAAGTTGCCGCTCTTGAGGCCGAGAAGGCGCGGTTTTTAGCTCGACCGTCCTCCTCTCATACTTCTACTTTCCCCGACATTCCATGGCATTTATATGAGATGTGGATCCACGCTGAGGCTCAACTGGACATATACAGGAATTTGATGACGGCGGTGAAGGTTCCTGAGGCCGATTTTGAAGATGCACGTGTTAAGGCGCGTGACACTAGGATTGCCTGCAGTTATGATCCCGCTACGCCGGGGACCGGTGATGGTGAAGATGATTTAGAAGGGCTTGCATCTGATGCTTGGTATAAATATGAGTATCCCGATGGCGGGGGAGATGATGGAGATGGCGATGTTAGACCAGGCGGTGAAGGTGGCGGTGGCAAAGGCGGGGACGATGTGGTGTGATGCTTTGTACTTAGTTTTTGTTTTTTTTTTTGTGGGGGCGTCTTTCTGGCCCTTTGTAAGATATTTTATTTTTTGGAATGGAATGATCACGACCTTTTGTTGTATGTTCTTGGGCCATTTTATTTTTCTTCGAATGTTTGTGTTCGGAAGAGTTGTATTGGTACTTGCTATTTCGAACATGGTCGAGTATATCTTTGGTTGAATTTGGGTGAAACCCATGTCGTACTTAATTCAAACGAAGTTGTAAATCGAACTTAAGTCAGGTTGAGCATGAGTGGAATTCAAGTGTGATCGAATATGAATTCGAATGAGGTCAGATGTTTAATTAATTCGAGCAAGGTCGAGTGTGAGTTGATTCGAGCGAGGTCGGTGTTGACTCTTAGTTGATTCGAACGAGGTCGAATGTGAGTTAATTCGAACGAGGTCGAAGGTGAGTTAATTCAAATGAGGTAGAATATGAGTCGATTTGAGCGAGGTCGAATATGAGTCGATTCGAACGAGGTCAAATGTGAGTTAATTCGAACGAGGTCGAATATGAGTCGATTCGAGCGAGGTCGAATGTTGACTCTTAGTTGATTCGAACAAGGTGGAATGTGAGTTAATTCGAATGAGGTCGAATGTGAGTTAATTCGAACGAGGTCGAATATGAGTCGGTTCGAGCGAGGTCGAATGTTGACTCTTAGTTGACTCGAACGAGGTCGAATGTGAGTTAATTCGAACGAGGTCGAATGTTTTAATTAATTCGAACGAGGCCGAATATGAGTCAATTGGAGTGAGGTCGAATGTTGACTCAATTGATTCGAACAAGGTCGAATGTGAGTCGATTCGAGCGAGGTCGAATGTTGACTCAGTTGATTCGAATAAGGTCGGAT